ATATATATTATATATATATATATATATAATATATATATATATTATACTTGTTGAATCGTAAGCGAACCCGTTGCTATTCCGTAGAACGTAGTAACTACCAGAGAACGGAAAACTCACAATTCTAAAGTCCTCAGACTTGTCCCTTTCCCATTACGCTATTTCCCATAAATGGTACGCCTGTAAACCTGTGATGGTTCTGATCCTAAGTCAGATTTGAAATAGAGCGATTCGTATGCGGAACTGCAGGCGCATCCGTCCTCCGCGCTTGTCCAGATCCCATTATAGAAACGCCAAGACAAGAGATAAGAGTTCTGAGCATAAGCGTTCTGGGCAGAAGCTGAGAATTGTGAACTGCCTAGGTCATGGGATCTACCGAACATCGAGGACCGTAAGCATGTCAATTTATATTCCGGAAATTCCGGGCCATAGTGGGGTCGGAATAAAGTCACCAATCGCTCTTTTGAATCCATTGTTATATGTGGAGATTTTAACATTGATTTTCTGGTCGAATATTGCGAGAAAGAGCAGCTTCTCAATTTAATTCATTCCTTCAGTTTAGATATTCCAATAAATGTGTCTACACGAATCACACTAAATTCAAAGAAGGCAATCGATAAAATAATATATAACAAAACCATTACTCGATATGAAATTGAAACAAATGTTTCGGATACAGAAATCACGATGCACAAACTCTTACAATTAGAAGATATGCGAACACTGACACAATAAATAATACACGTATGAATAGATTATTTACTAAAAGTAAAATAAAAATTTTCATCAATTACCTATTGCAAGAGTCATGGAACGCGGTTTACAATACTGATTGTTGGAATATTTATGTACATTTATATTAGAGAAATTGTATTTACTGACATCTATAGGATTACTATGTAACTAGTGAATGTATGTATATAAGTGTACGAACGATGCGCATTCGTTGATTCTTGTCCTGAAGATTGAGCTGTATGGACGTAGCATGCACACACTTCAGTAAACAGAGTGCGTAAGTCCACGTGTTCTTATTTTATTTAACACTGCTGATACAAACGATAAAAACAATTCTTTTTTTCAACGCTTTCATTTCATTTTAAAACTGCTTTCCTCTTCACAAGAGAAAATTAAATATTTTACAGTAAAGCAATTCTTGGATAACACAAGGGTTTGGGATATTATGTATAAAAAACGAATTCCTTTTTTCATTTCTAAGCATCATGACGTATCTCAAGGTTTCCTCCTCTACTTTAAAAAAAATACTATCATTGTTAAGAAAGGTCATATGGTAGGCTAAAATAATGAAACATGACCAGGATATGTTGAACTCAATAAAACGAAAGCCATGTGGAATATAGTAAAAAATCGACAAAATCAACTAGAAACCTTATAGTGAATGTTGTTTTAAAAGATAACGATAGAAATGTGAACGATCCGGCAACAGTGGCTAGTCTCTTTAACCAATAGTTTCCAAGAATTGCTGCCGATCTCAGAAAGGGTCTTCAGCCACAAAATTCAGGTTCAGACGTTGGGCGGCACGTTGTAGTTTGTCAACATGTTGTTCAGGTGTTAAGTGAAGTGAAGACGTAAAAATTATAAATAAATAATCAGAAGACGTGAACAGTGTAAATAAATAACCAAGACCAGCGAGTCGTGTGTAAGGAAATAACCGAGTGAACAACACGACGATTGTGCAACCTGCAATCTGTAAATAAATCTAGTATTTTTAGTGTATCATTAAGAAGAAAAATAAACCGTTGTTCAAATATTACCTGTGTGTTTCAATTCACCACCAAGAAACGGTACAGTATGAACAATATTGAAATGAATATGCGCATGATAAATTAATAGCTCTAAAATTAGTGTTATTTTATCTCATATCGACGTAACTTCTTCAAGAAGAATTGTGTTAACACTCGTTAAGAGTATGCGTTTATATATTTATTATAATGAATGTACTTTCATGTTCATAAAAGAGTTTCATTTGATGTACTTGTATTTGAAAGTATTACTACATCTGATCTATGACGACCGCCATTTTCTACGTCGTAATTTTGCTAGGCCACTCCATCCATTGAGATTTGCTACGGTTGGTTGTGAGGCTCCGCCTGCGAGTTGTCATCATTGCAAGACCTGCGTAAGCCTTGCGGAAACTGGATTTGGCCTCAGACGACTGCATTCAATATTTCATTTCAAAATTGTATCATTACGTTATTGACGAAACATTGCGAAAACTAACTCACGATTTTCCAGAGTTATAGTTTCTATTAAATGATTGGTATTTTTTACATTACTATCTAATTTTATACATCGTATGGGTTTCAGAGTTTTTAGTTAAAACATTTTTACAGGTGGTGATGGTTCTGCGAGACGACAACTCGGCGTTTTTGCTAAAGACTACAAGAAATTAGGATTTAAGTATGATATAAATCCAGCTCTGGATTTTACAGAAACACCACCTGGAATGTTGGCTCTTGACTGCATGGTTTATTTTGCACGTAATCATCCCTGTGATTACACTAAGGTAAGTTTCTTTGTTATTGTTTTACTTATATTTGATGTACGTACAATTAGTTCAGTTCACAAATTGACAACTCAAATTAATCAACAATTGTGATAAAATTTCAGAACATTGCATTAATAAAATTACCCGCCGTGCATTTCTGCAAATTCTCAAATCGAATTAAGAGCCATCTTCTTTTAACAAATCACATTTCAAAATACACAATTCACATTGATACAAAGAATACTGAGAAAAACAATGACTTCTTGGCTGCCCGGGTGACGTCGCGTCGTTGGCTGAACATTACGCCAAGAAATACGCGGCGTCATCCGGACAACCAAGAAGTGACAAACTCGAGCTGCGGAAGCTTACGTGTACATACGTTACTCACACGTCTGAAGTAAAAACTATCATGTGGGTATTTGGCTTTACTGTGGTTCAGTATCGAAATGAATCTTACTCAAAATCATTATATAACATTATACATGCGTATACTAACTTATGACCAATTAAGCACCACAGACAAAGAAACAAGCTTGAACAAATAATCTTGCTTCTATTTTAATGTTTTAAATCTCGCATAATGGTAAATTTTACTCTATTGAAATCCATCAGATCACAGGAACGGCTATTAAATATAAAAACTATGTATATCAATCCTTCAGTGCATTTAGTGAGTATTTTCCCTTTAACATTAAAGGCGTGTCCTTTCATGATACCTTCTGTTATGTTTCTTTTCTAATGGTAAAGAATGGTCCATAAGCCATGAAATGTTTCCTTATTTTTCAACTTTTCTGCAGGTAGTCGTTTCTTTCCACTAAGTGGGCCTTCGAGTCCCGGTTGTCTGTTTCCCTTCCTTTCTCTTTCAACTCATAGTAAACACATTTATGTTGTTGGAATTTATTTCTTATCACTCCAGACGTCATTAATTACTTTTCAAGAGATAGAATTCATGTCCACATAATATGTAATAAAGAGATTTTTGCGTGGGGATTCTAGGAACGGATTTACTCATAAATGGCAAACTATACTACGGAAAAACCAAAAATGATCCTAGTGCTAAAGATTTTGCGTCGAATTGGTGAAGGATTTGTTAAATCATTATTCACTGATTGTTATAACTTTACAACTGATAACTTTTTTATTTCTAAGAGTTTTTTGTGACTCTTACATCCATATTCCTGGGTGATTTTGTAATGGAGAAGAAACTAACATACGGCCTAACAATCAGGAAATGCCATTGAACTGTGAGATTATAACGGTAGATAATTATGTTGTAAAATGTTTGGACTCCATGGAAATTGTTTTTGTATCATACAAGCCCAAACATTTCACTTAGAAAGTACGAGACGATGTTGGTGGTGGAGTTTGAGCTTGCGAGCCCCCTTGATCCTGAGAGCTATGCCAACGCTAGCGTAGCTGGTTGGGCTTCCCTTGTTAGACAGGTCGAAGGGGAGGGATCAGGCGCAGGAGTACTACAGAAACGGATTTAAGGCCAGAAGAGGAACAACAAGAAGTCGCTGACGAAGACCTCAGACATGGCTAAGACGACCTCCAAAGGGTAGGCAGAACTCTCAGCCTTGTGCAGGCAGTCTGCGTATGGATGGCGACGAGCAATTTTTCCCAGCTGGATTGAAAGCTGTGAGACGGCAGCCCCATCAGTGAGCTTAACCTTCGCTCTTAACGCGGCTAGAGAATTTTGTACACACTGACAATCTTCACAATATTCAGCCAGACTGTTCTAAGGAAACGACTAAAGCATTAAAATGACATACGATTTGGTATTACGGATCGAACAAATATTGCCACTTGGAGAGGGTTGGAAAATGAGCTAGATTTTAAACTAATCGAGAAAGAACTTGCCATCGCTGTCATGACAAACCAAGAACAAAAACACTAAAAGGCATAAAAAATCTAAATAGTAAACAATGATAAACAGCGGAGTGCCTCAAAAGACACGTGCGAGTGGTACGGTTGGTATTTTGTCAGTACAGAATGGAAAAATAAAATATCTGAATACTCCTTTATAAATGAAAGAATTGTCACTTATAAATTTAAAATAGATAGGGTACTTAGTAATAATTGGTGTTTACGCCCCTTAAGACGGAAGAAAAGAGAACTCCAAAGACTTCTATGACGATCTGTAAAGAATTAAATGAAGTAAATAAAAGGTATCATGTTCTTATTTGTGGTGATTCAAATGGAAGGGTAGGCAATATTCCAATTCCAGAAATCGTTGGCACACCACATTAATAGAAATGGAGATGAGCTTAGACAGTGTGCAACCCTTAAACCAACTGAAAATAACGTATACTTTCTTCGGAAAAAAGGAAATTCATGAATTTACATAGAGTGCCAGAGGCCACATATCATTAATAGACTACATAATATCAAATAATAAAATCTGCAAGCAAATACTAAATGTTCGAGTAAATCGAGGAAGTGACATTTAGTCTGACCACTATTAAGTCATTGCAACTCTTACAACGATTGCAAAGTGGAAGAAATTTAGAGCCTTTAGAAGTCTTTAGAGTAAGTTTCCTCGAACAACAAAGTATTAGAAGATTGTATCAAATTAGGCTATAAGAAAATCTTTTAAATTTTGCAACTGATGACGATGCAGGTAGAGAATGGCAAAATATGAAACACTGCGTAGAGTTGGCAGCCAGTGATGCAATAGGGAAGAAAAAGAAGTTCAGGAGAAGAAAAGGATTAAGAATATGGAACTAACATATAGCCATAGCAGTGAAAGGTAAATAAATAGCATACAAACAAATTCTTGGTAATCGTTTACAGGAAGCTGGAAAATAATATAAACAAAAAAATCATACCAAACTCATAAAATCTGCACATCAAACATGGGATAATATAACAAACATATAAAACGACACATATGGAATGCAAATGATTGCATTCAAATTTATCACTGAATCAAACAGAAAATACATCTGAATCAAACAGAAATTATGAAGATATAATTGATGAAGAACATTGGAAATCACATTATAAGAAACTTTGGCTGGCAGAAACACCTAATATCAGAAAGGCTGAACCTACCATAATACTCTTGATTCTATATCTTGGATGAACTACACGCAACACCAAAAAGTATGAAAACAGAAAATCATGTGATATAGATGGTAATAATGCGTAACTTCTTAAAAACGTAGATACTCTATGTGAATTCAGACTATTTCATTTATACAATAAGTTCTGGCAATGCTGCAAAGTACAGAACACCTAGAAAACATCAGATGTCTCTGTATAGAAAGGGTCAGAGATACGAATGTGAGAACTACAGGGACATTATCCCTCTGAATACACCTGACAAAGTGTATACAAAAATAATTAACACTCGCCTTAAAACATAGCAGAAGTTCAAGATGGATACCGGAAGGGGCGCTCATGCAGTAAAATTTTTATTATTAAAATAATTTAGAAAAAAATGACGAAGGCTATCTTGAAACTCATTTAGCTTTCATTGAATTCGAAAGATCATGTGACAGTTATCAGAAATAAGTTATGTAGCATAATTGAGAATAACGGTTTCCCAAACACCTACTGGAAGTTCTAAAAACTATGTAATGTGGCATCACTGAATTTTGGTGGTTCAAATTTATTAAAATACGGGTTCTTCCTTCTTGCGAAATGCGACGAAAACGTGACGGAATCGAGAGCTTTGTTCATTTTGAAGACGCCATTCAGGCGGCGATTTCTCTTGCACTCGCCCGCCCCTTTCTTTGTGAGCGTCTACGGTATATGCACGCAGCGCTCTCAGGGACATCATCCCCTCTGTTTACAAAGGGCTAGTGCCTGCAAAAAAGGCAGCTGCACCCTTCGCCCATCCCTCGCACTCGCCTGCCCTCCGAACTTTGCGACGATTAACCGACAGTAATGGAAAGTTTTGGGCCACCGATGACGATAGTGTACGCAGCGGAGCTACGTGGATTTAAAATCAGTATGAGAAACAAGGATGGAGATAATAGAATTGTCGAGAAGAAACCCCTAAGGCACCTTAGATCTTCTATGATTGGCCGAGGTTCATGTGCGGTGTGGTTCGCTTAAGCCAATGGCCATCCATTAAATTTCAGAGCGATCTAGAAATTTCTGGAACAAAAGGGTGGGGAGAGTAGAGGTGCTGGCTGCAGAAACTTATTTCTCAGTTGAACTGTCGTGAGAAGCACTTATCGTAGGGCTGTCGCAAGAAAGATTTCTCGTTTGATTGTTGTGAGAAGCATTTCCCTCTTTTGACTGTCCGTCGTGAAATCAGTGGCGATAGGAAATATCCAAATTTTCTGATTCTATTCTCATAGACGACGCTGAAAGAAAGAAACAAATGGTTTTTTGTCATAAAATTTCTGCTTGCGTAATTCCATGATAGAAAAACAGTTATTGATCTGGCATAAATTGCGTAAAGCTGCTCACGGAACACTACTAGTCCGGTGAATTTTACAAAGTGTGGTGAAAATTCAGAATGATTAGAAGGAACATGAACTCTGAACTACTAATTCGATATTGAAGTGCGCGGAGGAAGAAACTCGTTTGCGAGCCTGCTGTGAGTTGTGACGCGTGAGGGTGTGGGACCGCCCGTCAAACACTGCTACCTGCCATCGGGGTTCACACCGCCGTTTCGAGACGCCGATCCGGCCCGCCAACCTGCCGCCTACTCTACCCCATCTGCTCGAGAATAATCATCGATGATACCCCCATAGAACATGTTTCGCATTTTAAATATCTTGAATGTGAAATAAGTTATGATGCCGACAGGGACATTGAAAATAAAGCCAATGGATATCAGTCTGCGGGATAATAAATAGAACCCTCCATAATAAATCACGAAAACGAAAAAAACTGAAATTCCCCTGGAAAGTTGAAGTCTGCACCAAATATGATCTCATAAGAAATTAACATATCCAAAAACATTTGGGCATTTATAACACAAATGGACTAGAAAATTATAAATATTCTTAGAGACGTACGAAGAAGGGGCACTAATAGAATTCCCCATTTGGCAATGCTCT